GAGCATAATACCACTGAAGACCCACAGGGAGCCAATGCACGTTAAACATGTCGAAGCTCAAACGTCCTCATGTTGGTGTGGTGTGGAAGTTAATTAGAGTAGGGTGAATTAGTAACTATATGAATCATTGTTTACAGTGGTATTTTTATAAAAAAGCAATCTCAAACCTAGTTTCAAAATCTGAGTAAAAGGCATTTAAATGTTGAATGTAGCTTAAAATGTCCTGACAGATTGTCTGTGACAAATTGAGAAAATTTGTGGCTTCCAATATTATACTTTAGCTTAATTCTGGAAAGAAACGCTGAAATGGTCTTTGTCTTGATAAAATGTATGCTGTCCCCTAGTAACCCACATTAACCACACTAAATTTAGTAAATAAATGTTAAATTGGTAAAATTTGGTTTTTCCACTAGATAAAATTGTTTTTTAAAGATTAAAGTCACGATCTGGTTCAATGAGAGTCACTATCATAGACCCCCTCCCCCCATTTGCATCTCATTGATCCCCAAATTATTTTTTCCTGGTGTGGACCCCTTGTAGGTCATCATAGACCACTTTGGGAATCACCAATGTAATAGATTATTCAGGTTTCCAAAGCTTCACCTTACACAAGTGTTTAATATTGTTTAACTTAAGACGAAAGTATGTGGTATTGAAGCAAGAGATTGCATCAGAACGACTATTTATATCGAGATCAATAATTCCCAAATTTCTTTAAATTTGGCTTAAGTACACTATTTGAATAAAAATATTGAATAATTTTATAAACTAGACTGAATATATCTACATATAGTCAAAAACTTTCAGAATGAAAAATGTTGATCATTTATAAAGTTAAGTTTACTAAAAGGAATAAAATTTTAGTCTAATAAAATAATGAAATAGTGTTTATATTGCACAAATGTTTTTTAGGCAAACAATAAATATTTTTAATTTACCAGGTTATAATTTTTTCCTTGCTTCTCATATCCTGAATTTCACACATTGATATTGGTAAATTATGAAAAAATAATGAAATTTCTCCATTTTTCAAAACTTCACGTGCAATGTGCAAGCTTGATTTTGGGTGATGGGTCCCCTTTTTACTTAGCTAAGTCAAATTTAATTTTTCTTATAATGGAAAAGAAAAACAAATTTTCACTCTAATGTACTGAACTCTTTAAAGTTCACTACATATTCCCTTTGACAAATTAACAAAATAATTTCAAAAATGAGTGTTAAACATGATGATAATCATAAATATACGAAGAAAAAAAATTTAGCATTTTTCAATTTCGAGAAATTTATGGTTTCACAGTGAAACCAGTGAACAGTAACGGTCTATTTTTCCTATTCAAACTAACCAATCCAAAAAATTATTCAGAAAAAAAAATCTGATATTTTATGACCATAAAACTGTTACATTTTAAAATTAATTAAGGAAAAATAATTTTAAAAGTTTTCAATTTTTTAAAAAAAAGTTTTCTGCATTTTTATATTTTTAATACAAATTTGAACATAACATTACATTTATTTTACATTACATACTGAAAATAATTTATATTCCTTAATAAAAAAATTGCTAATACATATAAATTTCCATCGATAATTATTAAAAAAATATTTAAATATATTATGTACACACAGTCACATTTAAGAATGTGCAAATGCACATGTTGGCCAAACTTTAGAGTGTGGATAAATATAGTTAAATATAGAAATTTCTCACTATAAATTTAAAGTAAATAAATATTTTACTAAGACATGCAATAAACAAATAGTGCTTTAGAAAGTCTGCTGCTGAGAGAATTTTTAAAACGAATCGCTGCACAGGGTTGGCATTCATCCTAAATACGGTTCTGAATATATATATATACATTAACACATACACCCTAAATATATATATAACTGGTAGATAGTTTGATACACACTCAGCACTTATCAATGATTAAAAAAAACCTTAAATGCAAACCTGTTTTATTAAAAATGTTATATATATAGAAAATTTATAAAGGATATTTCCAGTCCTTGTGAAATTTTTTGAAACATGTCACAATATCTTTACTTTTTACTATCGTGTGATCCGACATCACAGTTAGAGCACATCCATCTCGCTCTCTGAGGTTTAGTTGCAGTACTGCAATAAGAACATCTTCTGGATTTGCATTTGGTTGGAATGTGGCCAACATTTTTAAGTCTGTCCTTTTCAGAAACTGTATGTTTCCTGAATTTTAGTTTCACGGGTCCAGAATAAGATACAGATGCAAACCATTTTTCAGGAAATTTTTGTTGCCCTATTGACACAAGGCCAGTTATCAAATCTAACTAAAAACTTTTCAAGTTGTTATAATATGGGTTTTTCTCACTGCATCAGAGATCAAAGAATATAAGAATTGGCGATTGTCATATCAAAAAAATTAAAGATATGGTGTCACCATTTTTTTGATTTTCTGTATTTCATACATGGATTTCAGTTGATCAAAATGGTCTATGTAACCCATATTCTTATTGCTTTCGTGCATGCTATTTTAATTTTTTCCCCATCTTTTTCTTTCCGTTCAACTTCACAAGATTTTATGGCTTCGTCTAAAGTAGGAAGAATATGAACTATTCTCTTGTCTTTCCATTCCAGCAGTGTCTTCATTGCTAACACTCCAGTCAAAGGCCCCTCGTTTCATTTTTTTGTCCTCTAATAAATTTTTCAGTAAGTTCTTCCTGGACATGTTCACTGCACCACATGCTGTGATATTTTGAGTGTCTAGATATTTTAACAAATCATAAGAAGTGAAATAATTATCAAAAAAGAGCACATGGTTTTTGCCTAATAATTTTTGACTCAAGTTCTTTATAACACGTTCTCCCAGATTTCTTTCGACTTCTTCGGTTTTACTTTTGTAAATTTGAAATTCACAGGTAAATCCACTTGAATCACATCTCATCCAAACTTTGTAGCCTCTTTTGATGGGTTTGTTAGGCATATATTGTTTCAAGGATGATCTTCCTTTGAACTTGATCATACTTTCATCAATTGCCTGCTTCTGTCCGGGTTTGAAAACTTAAAAAAAACTTTCTGATAAGTGATCAAGGAATGGGCGCACTTTGTACAGTTTATCAAAATTCTTTTCGGATTTCTTAGGCATCAAGTTATTATCATTCAAATGAAGGTTCCCTAAAATCCAAATGAATTTTCTCACTGGCATCAATCTTGAAACAAACGCATGTAAAATCTCGTTTATTGACCAAAAATCTCTGTTGCTGGGCAATTGTTTTATCCCCATCACTATATTTATAGCTAAAAAACATACTATATCCTGTACAGTAACAGGAGTAAATGCACTGCCTTTTCGCGTAGTATATAAATTCGTTTGGTACACAATTGTTTCTATAAATTAGATAGAAAATAATGTCAAAAAAATTGAAATCGGTGAAGGATTTTGAAGAAATGTTACTTCATCTGAGGGCCCACTTTGCTCAGTAAAAGGCAAATTTTGAATTTTCACAAAGATTTTATTTTTCCAAGTAACTTTAGATATACAGGATGGTCCTGGCAAACTTATGTCGCCTACTTTCTCATCAATATCGGTATTTTCACTTGAAAATGACTTTTCAGTCTGAGTGATGATTCATCGGATTCAATATCAGAGGGTAGGTTGTGAAATACTTTCAGAGCTTCTGGAATGGTTAATCCTTTTCTCAGCATTTGAAAAATTTACATGAAATAACACGAAAAAATATTTAAAATAAGAAAGGCAAGAAAGCGCTAGATTGATATTTGTCTTCTCCGAGAACAGCTCAAATATTAGGTTGGAGGGAAAGATCTGTCGTATTTTAAATAGGCAGTTGTTCTTGTAAATAAAAAAAATACATCTGTCTAGTAAGTCATTCGGATTTTTTGTTTTTTTAGTTGCTGTGTAATATAAAAGGAGTCGTTTTTTTTTTTTTTACCGTTCATCATTGGTTTGTGATATTTAAAGTGAAAATATAGCTTCTAGACGTTGGATACAAGCCCATGTCTTGAGAGAGAGCAGATGTGCTGGACAATTGTTTACATGTGACCTCGACAATGAGAGATGGAAAGGGTTGAGTATGTGGCCCACGCCTTGAGTTTACCTTCCTTTACTGGAGTTTGGTTTCGTGGTGAAACCATAGATTTTAATTTCATTTTTCTACTCTTCTGTTTACTTATCAAATTGAGTGAAAGTTGCAATTAATAAGTAGAATGGAGTGTAGTAAGACCTCGTGCTATAATTCAAAATAAATACTTTTAAAAATATTTTTAAGGCTAAAGGAATTTACCAAATTTTAAGGAACGTTAATATTTTTCTCTTTAGGAGGTCTCAGTCGTTAAATATAGCCGTAATGTTGCTATCCATTGCTAGGAAAAAGAACAAAAATTCAAAAAAAAACTTATTGGGATAAAAAAGTTTAATTTTTAAAAAAATGTTTAATGTGTGGTTTTGGTGTGAAACCAATGAACGTTAAAGGGTTAAGCATTTTTTAAAAATTATAGTGTTCACATTAGAAGTCTCTAATCATATGAAAAGATCCTTTGCAAAGTCCATATGCAATATTGATATTCTTGTTAATCCCAAGGAATTGTGATTTCGGACCATGGTCATGATCAATAGCTATATGATCTGCTATATTTTTAATCGATTGGTATCAAAACCATGCTGCATCTTCACTAATGTCCATAAATTGAGGGTAATGCAAGTCCATGCAAAGAAGAGTCAAAAGCAAAACAAATGTGACTTATTTGTAAAGCCTTTTTTAGTTCCTACTATTAGTTTTCACTCTCCCTATAAATATAGAAATATATATATACAATCAAATTTTCAATTGTTAATAAAATACTTTTTATTCACTCACTCACATTCAAATACATTTTTTTAAACTTGTGGTGGATGACACTTGATGGTAATACAGTTTTTTCAAATATTAATTCAGTAATTCTATTTAATTATTGAAGAAATGGTAACAAAAATAGTCCAACACGATATATAAAAAGGAAAATCGCTTGTGTCCCTGTAGCGCAATATATAGCGCATTGGACTTCTAATCCAAAGCTCATGGGTTCAAATCCCATGGCTGAGATGGCCTAATTTTTGAGAATGGGATTTCCTTTTACTATACTATTTTATTGGAATAATTAAATTTATTGAATGAATAAATAGTAATAAACAAAAATATAAGTCCAACACCTTATATAGAAAGGAAAATTGCTTTCTATTTTGCCACTTAATTGTATATACATATTTTTATTAATTGTAATTGTTTAATAAAAAGCAACAGATAAAATTTTTGTATATTACTTGTTTTTTAACAAAAAGTAAAGTGCAAAAAAGGTGCTATATGATTGGTATCACTAATAAAAATCGCGATTTTTGCTCCCTGGAGCAAATTACAGAAAAAAAATATTACATGCTTGGTGTGATGGTTAATACATAGTATTTCTCACAGACAATGCAATATGGCCCATACAATGCTTAGATATGCTGAGTATCAAATTATGGATAAGCAAACTATTAATCTGCTCAGATTTCTATCTGGTCTAATAGTCGTCTATAAATTTTCAATGTTTTAAAGGAATTAATTTGAGGATAGGTTCCATTTTTTGCATATTTAAAAATTCCTTTGAAAGTTATTTCCTCTATCTAAAATATACTTAAAGAATTTGTGTAGAAATTGATTATAAAATTTCATGTGCAAAAAATGGAACATTTTAATAGTTATGCATAAAGTTATTAATGTTTTTGTTGAAATTGAAGCAAGAACAGGAAGAGTACACAGTTCCATTCCTTGCATTAGTATTAAAGATTTTGCAAGATATGCTATTTTTTAGACTTCATTGCAGTACATTAGAATTCCTATTCCTATTCTTAAAAAGTTTGTCCTTTGTTGAATTGTAATTCAAAATCCACTTATTTGAGTTTCAATACCATTTAAGATCTTTATACAAAATTACTTAGATTGCTGCAGGTTAAATCCAGCTGGATCTGAAAGTCTGATTTGTGATTTAAAATTAGAATGAATTACCATATCATACTCATGATTACTGTCCAAAATTTTAATTCATTTCTTATTGCTTCTACTATGTACTCGAAACAGAAACCAAATGTCAATATCCAAAAAGAATGGGATTTTTTAAACTTTGTTAATTACTGATTATATTTTTTGTTGGTAGTCACTGTTATACTTTATATATTCAAGAGCGATATACTTCAGCAGCTTTTTGTGAATTATAAATATTTCACATTTCCCATAATTTTTAATATATACAACATAAGCAGAATTTGTTGTAAAATTTTAAGTTTATCTATGTATTTGCTTCTGGATTAAAATTATTTTGATGCATTTCAAAGATTTCTTGTTCATTTGAATAATTACCCTCCCCCTCCCCTTTACTAGCATTGATTAAATTTAATAAAATTCTTTTGTGTGTGAAAGATGATTTAGCCTTGAACAGAACTCCTAAATTTGAATTTAATTAAAAAGATGACTCTTTTAAAGAGACTATTTTTTTAAAAAAAACTTGATTGTTTAAGATTTTATTTTTTTTATATTTCAATTATTCTATTTATGAAGTTATTGTCTGCTGCATTTAACTCAAGTATAAAATTATTTCATTCTTTAAAAAAAAATATTTCACTTGCCTTTCAAATAGAGCTGGAAGTATTGTATCGTGGCAAAGAGTATTCAAAATAATTGTATTGTAATAGAATTTTTTTCAGGCAGTGATATTTTTATTTTTTCTCTTTTGTAAATTTTAATTATGGGTATCAAAGCTACCCATTTTACAATTCAAAGGCTCTTAGATTATAGTTAAATCTGGTAAATGTTAAAAACATTCAGTTTTATAAGAAATAGAATTTTTCTAAAACTGTAAAAAATGTTAAATTAAAGGTAATTTGTTATTTAACCTTCAATAATAAAGTGTGCTTAAAACCTTTAAAGTTATCTTATTTTCATTTTTATTATCTATTTTTAGATATATATGCTTAGTCAACCTCTCTCGCCTAAGGATGTAGTTGGAGAAATTTTGTTTTCTGGATATTTGACTGAGAAACAATGGTTTCAGTTTGATAAATTATATCATGAAGTGAATAAAGAGTATAAAACTCGACGAAATCTACTACTTACTCGATTAGATGTAACCATTCAATCTTTTCTTTGGGCTGATAGACTAAAGGTTTTGTAAAATTTTATTTAATCTTACTAATTTTTGCTACCATGTATTCTGGCAATGAATTCTGTCTGCTACCATGCATTTTATGACTGAGAAAATAATTCGTTCATGCATATATTTGAAATAAATGCATTGTTTTTCATTTTTGTTTTAATATTCCTTCAAATATGAACAATTTTTTAAGTGCATGCTTCAAACGCTTTTGAACGCCTTTTAAGATGCAATTATAGTGTTATGTTTTTTTAACTGGTAGGTAAGACTTAGATTAAAAGTTACCTAGCTTATAGTGAAAATTGTTGTTCTTGAATGGTAACTAAAAAAAATTTCTATTATATACAATTTTTTTTTTTTTTTTTGTAGGACACATTTATGGAATAAATATAAATTTTTCTCTAGTGAAATATATAGACTGTCAAGTTTCTATCAGAAAAAGAAATATTGTTGTAAAATTACATTAATATCTGAATTTTCTCCCACTTAGTGTAAATCTGAAGAAGTAATGAATAAGTACAACAAGCAAAGGAGTCTAATTGGAGATGATCCTTCTGTAAAAATTTCTGATATACTTGCTGCCACTATGAGTAAATATTGTGTTTATAGAAATGAATTTTTATTTTCTTAATTTATTCGACATTTCTTACTTAAACTCTTATTTTCAGGTTTGGCTGCCATAGAAAAAACTAGTAGTGCTTCAGTTCGCAAAAACACTAAGTCCTCAGTGAATAAAGTCATTATAGGCGCAGTAAGTATTTTATATATTTAATGGAAGTTGTATGTGTTTTTAATGGATTTAAAGTATGTATCAGTGTGCTCAAATTAGATATTTTAATTGAAAACTGGACTTATTTTGGTGGTATGGTTGTGACTTGTATCATAAGTCTGGATTCTGATAAAATCTGCCATTCATTTGAGAATCAAAAGTTGAAGGTAACAAATCCTTTCTTATCTAACTCCATTTAAAAATTGATACACCCATCTGTTATAATCAAGGAGTACGATTTTTGAAACATTAATGAAAAAAACTCAAATTGGAAAGTTCTTAATGAGTTTGAGACTTTATTTATTTTCATCTTTTTAAAAATATTACAAATTAGTATCATACGCATATATTTTTTAGGTTCCAGATAGAGGAGGTAGGCCAGAAGAGCAACAACCTCCTCCACCAGAAGTACCCAGCTGGCAAAAAAATGAAAATTCATCCAGAGGTGGTATGAGGCAAACTCCACAGAGTTCGAGTAATTACAGAAATTCAAGTGACAGAGATGCTCCTCGAGATCGTAATCAGAATGATAATCGCTCATATAATGATAATTATCAAAGGAGTGGGAATTATAACAATAATAGAGGAAATTATACCAGAGGCAACGATTACAATGCCCCTACATATCAGCCAATATATCAGCAACCAGTTCAATTTTATGGCCAAGTAGGAACTCCACAGTTTGGATTCGGAGGATTTATGCCTGCAGGTGATAATTTTCAACAATATGGTATGAGTGATGGAATAAATCAATACCAGCCTAAGCAAAACCCTAATTCTGGACCTAGGCCTCGTGGTGGTTATGAGAGAGGTGGGAGGTCGTATCGTGGTCAAGGGCGGGGTCGCGGTAGACGATAATTGGGGTGTTGCATTGTCATTGCAGTAAATTGAATGTTTAAATTCAAGTTAAAAAATAACATTTTTCTCTTGATTAAAAGGGGTATTTTGTTCCTTAAAAAGCCCCAATTTTTTGCTAATGTAATGGTCTTTTTTAGAAACAAAAATATCCTTTTTTTTTCTTGCACTCTTTAATAGATTATATAAATATTTTGACTTTTTTTATGCATTTGAAAACCTGTCAGATTGTTAATTTACTTTTCCCGTTTTGTATTTTAATATTTTATATTGTTTTGATTTGCATTTGTACACAAAATATTTATTGCTGTTATAACATTTAAAATAATCTACTTTTCATGTTGGAGGAATTTTTTTTCTTTTATGAGAGAAAGCTTAAATGTTTGTTTTAAGCAGTTATTTCTGTATAATTAATATATATATGTAATTTCAAAGCGTCAGCGATAAATCATTTAAAATGTGTTGTTTTTGTAATATAACATGCAACAGATGATTATACTAATTTTGTTGAAAAATGGTAGGGCTTTTCTCCCATACTCTGTCAAAAAGAAATAAGCATTGAAATTTTTACTTGCTTGCAAATTTAGCTGCAATTTTATTTCCTAAGTGCCTAGTGTGCTCCAAAACCATATAAAATGTACTTAGAATCTCATAAATAGCCTTAAATTTTTTTTCATTATTTATAATTTTTGTGTATATAAACGTTGATTTTACAACAAAAATATTCATTATTCAGTCACAATTTATTACTAATGAATTTCTTAATACTCTGAAGTTAAAAGTTAAGTCGAATTATTGTTATTAATTCGAAGTTATTCGAATATGTTCCAATAATTTCGTTAAACTGATCATCGACTTTAAATTCAAATGCTTCTATTGTTAAGTCAACAAATTTTTATTTAATAATGAACGTTTTGAATCATTATGCAACCTAAAATTAAAAATTTCCATTGAATATGAGGCTGCTGCAAAAAAAAAACCGAATAAAAATATTTGTGCCTTTTGAAACTATCAATTTAATTATCAAGGGAAGATAATGTATCTGTATTCACACATTTTTAGCTGATTGATTTACATTGTTTATTCTGGATGGATTTTACAGCTTTGTCATTCTACATATGTAATAAACTAAGCTAATCATTTGTTGATGAAACATTTTCGACTAGAAATCAGTGTCTTAAATAACATGAAAAATGCATATTTTCCCTTGTTCCATTCTTAATGAACAATATCGTGCCTTTTGTGAAATAACAGGCCCTCTCCTATTCCAGTTGACACTGGATCTTGTGTTCATG